AGAACAATAAAAGAAACAAAATGTTCATGTACAAGAGACAAATCTTATTTGAATTTAAGAATATCTTACTAAATTACAATTCATACCATATTTGTCTATATAAAATGTAAAACAGTTACAGCAAATAACTTTTTTCTGTTTTTCCTGGTTGTTATTTCCCTATTATAAATTCCAACCAGTATAATTATGGGTCTAAGATAATAAAGAGGAATTTTTTTTTTTAATTTTGCAGTCTGAAGGGCAAATATGACATAAACACACAGCTGGCTGATGGCAACAGGCAACTTTTTAACTCCTCCTTTCTCTTCCACAAGAAGAAACGATGTAGTGAAAAACAGATTTTAGGAAGCTGGTTTTTGTTTTTTAGTAGTGAGCATTTCAGCAGTAGAGGTCAAGCAAAACATATCTTTTTTCCCATAGCAAGAAGTTTCCTAGGCTTGTGAAGTAGAAAATCGTGGAGAAAGATATTTTTTAAAACTATTTTTCTAAGGGATAACAAGAAGGAAATAACGTGCACGTAACTGAACTGGAAGAGGAATGCAGTTTAGAAAAGCTGGAATGGAGCTTAAAACATCTTCCTCAGTTGTTTTTAAAATGGGGGATCACTGACAGGAATGTATTTTGTAAGTGCTACAACTAAAAAAACAGCCTTCAAGATACCCAGTTTTGAAATTACTGAGATAATTAACATTTAATACATTTAGTAGCTGACATCTCGGAAGCAAAAAACACATCCCATGCAGTATCAATACCCATGGCTACCCTAGCACAAATTTCAAATCCTAAGAAAATTTGATATGATAAACGTCTATTTAGAGTGGTTTGAATGGTGATAACTTCCAAAACTTGGAGTAATCTTGAATTGCTGGGAAGAAGAGAGGAAATTTAGAAACTTGGGTCAAAATAATTAACTTCCCTCTTCTTTTGGCCGTAGTCTTACAAAGATTCAGTAACGCTGGGCTGTTTACTCAGAGGTGCTTTGCTTTTACATATTTATGGATGGAGGGGAATCATTAAAGTGATTTAGGCTACCAGCACTGCTGTTAGCTTATTGACCAATGCTTGGCTTAGTAATGCCACCAGTTCTGCTAATTTAATTAAAAAAGAAAAGCAACCAACAGAAACATACAGCTAAAAGAAAAACACCTTTGCATTTCTGACAGAAAAATTAAAAAGCAAAAACTATACTCATAGGTGAAAATATAGCAGAGGCTACAAGGCAATCAGGACACCTAAGATATTTTTTTGTTGTGGATAATTCAGATTACCAAACTCAGAATCAGTTGTGGGATCACTTTGGGGGGCTTTCTTTAAATAGGGTACAACAACACTGCTTTACCTGTTCCACCATGAGGATCTTGGGCTTTCCCTGCCCCTGCAATTTCAGTGCACAGAATGCCACATGCACATAAATCAAGCCAAGCAACAAAAGACAGAGAAGAAGTACTCAGAAGTGCCTGCCTATTTCCTGCCCTCTAAGTAAAGCAGCAAATTTGTGCATCTTTAGTAGTTTTTATGGTGCTGTATCTGTGATAGGTGTGGTGAGAGTAAAACCGCATGCAGTGCCATCTCCCCACTCTGGCATGAAAATCCCGCTGTGTGCTGGCAGGGCTGGCTTCTGCTGCCATCACCGTCAACAAAGTACCTTGCCTTGACTCTTGAAGCCCCGTGGTTTCTCTTGCCCTTAGCACCATGGGGAACCAAAAAGTAACACTCCCAAAACCGAATTTCATCCTAATGCACACTTTTCATTAACAATCTACTTACACAATAAGCATGCAAACACCCTCCCCCTCCCAAAGGCTATTTCCTATATAACGTGACTGTGTTACCATGAGGTGTGTAAGCTAAATTTAAGCCCTCTTCCCCTAAATAATATTAACCTTCTTTCCATTCAGACACATTTCAAATTGGTTTGTTGTTGATGTTGCTTTCTGCTTCTGAGTGCCTTCATTGTGGTTCCAGGAATAACTGAGTGACAACTAATGACAGTCTTCTAATCACATGAAGGAAAATAAAGAAAGGAGAAAGTAACTAAAAAGCTAAAAAAATTGTCAGCATCACAAGTTCTGCTTCTCCCTAAATGACAAACAGCACTTCCCCACTGTGTTACTGAAATCTATAAATTATCTTACAGACAAAAGAAAATAAATCCCTTGCATATGCAATATCCTTTGGCAAAAATGAATCGCAAACTGCTCATCAGACCAGCTGGATGGAGGATGCTCACACAATCTTCTATTGGGCTTCATCAGACCAAAGTATTTTTCAGCAACAACAGCCAAATGAAAACACTATACTTCAAGGAAAAGCAATGATACATTGAGTGAGGAAAACTAATGCAGAGATCAGCATCGCCTTCTCATTTGGCTAAGGACACACAGAGAAGGACTAACAAACACCATATGCTTTACCTGACCAGGCGTGATGCCCTACAGCTGAACCACAGGCAATAAACATGAGTTTGCAAGTGCGGCCACTCAGACAAAGACAAGATGTCCCTCTCTAGGAGTTTCTTCACCATTTGTAAAGTTACACCTGAAGGAGAGGTATGGCAGCCCAGCTCCTCATGCTACTGGTGGCTCTGAGAGCATCTCTCTGAGCCCAGCACTGTTGCAGGAACTGTGCTGCACTAACACAACTTAGCATAAACCACAGGCTGGGAGAAAACAATCTCAGAGCAGCTAATAACCAGGCAGCTTCATTGCTAGCAGCAGCAACACCTGAGTGGAAGGATGGACAACAACCTCACACTCTCCCGTTTTTCATCTGTGCTGTTTTCACATGCCATGCAAATTTGAGCTGCCAAACACAGAATAGGAGCTACTTAAATTCCCATTTCTCCAGCAGCCTAAAGAAATCAGATTTTTCCCAAGCAGTGCAACAAAAAGACTTGTATTTATCAGAAAGCTACAGTTCCCTGCCCATCACGCCTTGAACAGCTGTAGTGAGGGAGCTCGTTTCTGACAGACAGCCAAGACATGTAATCTGAATCACACCATCCCACTGCTTATTCAGTGCCGATAGCTGATGCTACCCTCATCTCACTTGCTCCCTTGCTTTTTTTTAACATTTTGACACTAGTCCTGAAAAGGAAGGATTTAAGTTAAACCCTTTTCAATAATGCGAATGTGTTTTTGCAATTAAAGCCACACAATTAGCATTGACAAGCTCAGGTCAGCAGAACATAGATTATGCCGTTCAAATGCTATGCGACTCAGTGCCTCCAGCAAAAAGCTGCAGGAGGGGAGAAGAGGAAAAAAAATCTCCACACATTGTTTAACAACTTGTGCTCTGACGCACTTCACCACTTGTGGATTTGTGGAGGGAGGTTCATGTATTTATTTACTTAAAATCCCTTTGGCTCTGGCCTCCTTCTCCATTGGTTCTATTCCTTCAAGAAAACAAGAACTATTCTTCAGGGCAAGAAGGCTGGAAAAATTTGGCAGAACTAACTTCTCAAAAAAATCTTAAATTTTAAAAGGCTCAAAATCCTTGCCTTGAAAATGTTTCCCTTCATTCTTTGAAAATAATTTTTAAAAGTATTTGCTTAAGATTTCTCTCACTCAGCCACTCTCACTAAAATCACAGATTTCTCTGTCCATGCAATCACATAGTAATTAATTTTAATTGAATAATTAATTGTAATCAAATACTACTGGTTTTAAAGGTATAAACAGTGTATGTGTGCATGCATAGATCCCAAAACCAGAAAGCTAAGTGAAGAAGCTAAAATAATTTCTCTCTTGCTAATTTTTATTCAGTTGTACTTAGTTTTCTCAGAAATCTCTTTATTTCAGTAATATGAATATTTGTACCTATAGATCTTCAGTATTAACATGACTCCCTTTTCTCTGTAGATAGACAGAAATAGCCATATATTCTAAAAACAAAAGTGGCATCATAGAAAAATGTAAGCAAACAGATCACCTGACCAGCACGATCGACAACCATCACAAAGTAAGTGCAGTCCTAATTTTGGCTTTGAGATCTTGGTCCCATTTCTACATCATCTCTCAATAAAATCTAGGTTTCATTGCCATAAATTATGAACTCTGTGACTAAAGCTTTCTGTTTGTATCTAAGTGCCCCATCCATGCTTATGGCATCATTTAACTGACAATAGTACTTTAAAATTAATCTGCACATCTGATTCAAATATTCCTGTGTCTGCATCACTCTATTGCTTTCAGTGGCTATGAGAGATAAGGGCCCTTGACCTTAGAAGTAACATACGATACAGTGGGGTAGAATTCCATACAAGGAATTTCATATAAAGTAGGTTTTTATATGGAACTCTAAAACACTGTATTTACATCCATTTTCCAGCTCAAGGTGAGGTAAGAAGCAGTGGAAATCCCCAGGACAGCAACAGCATGTTCTGTTGCCCTTCTGTATGTCAAGTTTATTCCTTCTACAGGACAAGAGGATTCCTATAAGAGACTGGGAATTCCCAGCATGGAATTCCCAATTCAGAAAATTCATGTGTCGTGCCAAATGCCAACACAGGGATACTTATTAAAAAAAAAAAAAAAAAAGGAAACTTGGGGGGAGTTAAATATCTATCCTGTGTCCCTTGTGTTCAGTAATATTTTCATTGCTTCAGGGCAGAAAATAAACAATCCCCTCCTGCTAGCACTAACAGCATATATATATATACACATACACTTACGAATATTTACATGCACATACGCACACACACTCTTTTTGCTCCTGCCAAGGCATCTGTGATACAAAAACAAGGTATCTGTTGAGTTTCAGCTGTGGACTTGTACCCAGATTAAAATTTTCCTTTTACGGACAGTTAAATTTGAATTGTGCTTTCTTATTAGTTTCCATAATTCAAATGAAAAGCAGCACACATCCTTCAGTACACTTTATTCTACAGGTGAGGTAAAAAAAAAAACTACACACCTGTGACCTATAGTTTCAGTTGGACCAAGGAGAGATTTGTGTGCAATATATAATGAAAATGCATATATATAGATCACGTTTCTTACCATGTCCCCAGGCTTGACAGAAACTGCCACCACTGCTCCAGGCATGGGAGATCTCAAAATGCTGGAGGTGTCCTCTGCTGCTTTTTCTGGCATGTACTTGCTCAGCTCCGCAGCAACATTCGTCAGTATTTGTAATTTGTACTAAAGAATAGGAAGAGGAATGTTTTAGAAAACTGCATCTTGGTGAATTCCAGGCAATAATCTGCACTATTTTATGGCATGTTTTTATATAATACATGCTATCTGCTCTTCACAACAGCACCTAAAAATCACTGTTTTAAGTCTTTATTCAGAGTTTCATTTTCAGGATGTAGAAAGAAAAATACGCAACCCCAAACTGCAGCAGTGAACACATAAAAGGGAAGACTCAAGTACAGTAAAGAAATGTCAGATTCATCTAAAAATTGGAGGTAAAGAGGGGAGATACACATTTGAAAAACAGAAATATCCTTATGCTTACTGCACATTATCTTTAGTGGATAAGGAATATCAAGGGATTTGTTTCCAGTGCTGTGCTGAACTGGAAATTGTCCCTTAGGGAAAGTCTACCAGATTTTCAATGACATGACTGATTTTAAACATTATGTTCTCTTTTTAAACAATTCTTTTTATCACGTACTTTAATGTTTGACATTAACAACTTGCTTAAATTTTGCGATTAGAACTTATTAAACAATTTCACTTCCATTTTTTCGTGCACAGGCAGAATGATAGAACATTGTGGTTGTACTGAATATACTTTATCTGTAATAAAAACTGTTCAGCAGCTGTCACCTACCTTGAGAAAAAAAAAGAATGTTTTCTCTAGTACGTTTTATAGGAATTAGAGATGAAGAAGAATATGATGAACCTCAAGTGTCTGAGAGCATCCCTTTAAACAAAACCTTTCTGAAAACATAAAAGCGTGTCCACTAATTTCAGTCCCAGGCTTTTACTTGTAATCACTTTGACAGAGAATTCCTTGCTTTTAGACAGATGGCCTTCACATTTGTCCCACCGCACTTGAAAACAAATGCAAAAAAGCCAGTAGATGGCAGCAGGTCGCTGCGCAAAACTCCTGCCTCACCAAGGCCAACTGAGCCAAGACCAGCACCGCACTTCATCAATAATTTAAACAAAGGTTTTAATAATAAGCACTGGATGAACTGTATTTACAATTCAAATGTGTATTTTGCGGATGTAAAGTTCAGCACCTTGCTTTGAACAGTATGTTTTCCTCCAAAACAATTAGCTATTGTTTTATTAGCAATGAAATGTCTTTACTTTTCACTTTTACACAGACAGAAAAAATCTGATATCCTTATGGTGAAGGTAAAGGGGGACTCTACCTTCTGCTTCTGGAGAAAGTAGAACAAAGTATTTTGAAATACATGCAAAAGGTAATTAATTCTGCAACAGCATCTTTAAAAAGCAGCTTTCGAAGCCAAATTAAAAATATATAACAGGGGATTATCATCCTCCATAAATGGCATTTGGTCACACAAGATTATGTGCAATGAACAGTGCACTCATTCAGTTAGAAATACTTGCTTCTAATCAGAAATACAAGCAAATGGTTAAATGAACTGATCCCCGACCACCACCCCTGTAAACGTAATAAAATGCCACAACAATATTCCCTGAAGCTGTTAAATGGCACCTAAATATTTGAGAACCCATTTCCAAACACGTGCCTTGGCTACAGCGGATACGGTACAGGGAAACCAGCACCATTTTGTATGCAAAAAGCTGCTTTAACTCCAAGCCTCCTGCAGGCATCATCATGACAATTAAAGACTGTGGCATTCACATTTTCCAACCCAAAATACAGCTAGTTCTCTCCTTGCACAAGCAACTACATTCAATGTGGTGTTCTCCTTCCAGTTTCTTTTTTTAAAAGTAAAGCGTGCGTATGTGTGCAAATGCGTGTACATCTGCACACTTGCATGTAGGCTGTAAGGAGAAGGGAGGTGATGCCTGTAGGAGATTTGATGACATAAGTTGCAAATAGAATTGCAGCAGCCTGACAAGTCAAATAATAACATCTTATGCATGTTTTTTTACTCTTGAGTGTCTGTTTTGCAATCAAGACACACAAGTGTCTGCCAGTTTCTGAAGGATGTGATCCTTAAGTGAAATTACTGTGCAAATAAAAGCTTTCTACTCCTATTAAAATTCATCTGAGTCATAAGTGGCAAGGAAAAAAAGCTTGCAGAGTGTATTCTGCTGTCAATCTAATAAACGTTCTGTGCAGAGGGACTATTTATCAAAGAAAAATTGTACGTAAAAGTCCTTCATTAAATCTATGGGGGGGAATATAATTACACCAAATTGCACAGTTTCAGTATCCATGGTCAGTGTCTTCTTTGTACTCAAGAGTTTGAAAATAAAATTTTTAAAAAAAGAAGAAAATGGAAGAACACAGAAATAAGTTAGATTTGTGGATGGTATCATTGCCTCTTTCAAGACACTATTTTGATATTATTTCAAAGGATTATGTTTAGATGCCATTTAGGTTTTTTAAGCCACATTTAAAACTTCCAAGCTGCCCAATCTCAATATTTTAACTTGAAGTGAAAGCTAGACCTTCTGCATTCATCTAGGTTGCAGTATTTCGCAGGGACTGAAATACAGAATTCCCTATGCACTCCACAACGTACAGCATCAGGGGAAAAAAACATGTTCCTCAGTATGCTGCACTTTAAAGCTCAGTTCTCCACACCAAGTTAAAATATCCCTACCAAACATTGGTTTTACTATCTTTGTAATTTTCATATCTTTCAGATTCCTTTCTCTGCAGGACTCCTGCTTTGCTTGGAGTGAGATGTGAGAGTCAGTACACTCAAAGCTTTAAGACGCAGGTCTTTGTTATTGATGAGCTGTTCCTTTTCCTTTTGTATTTGTTTATTGTTCTTTAGTCTGTTTGGGGGATAAGCAAGTTACTGTAATCAAAAAGTAAAAAATAACAACAGTAAACTTCTGGGGAAAGGCCTTTTTTGGCACAGTTGGTTCACAAATGACCTTTCAGAATAGAAAAAGACAAAGCTGCAAAGAAAGGTTCCTTCTTTAAGATTACCTTTGATGTATTTCTGCTGTTGGCTGGACCCCACTAAATACCCGCATAAGTGTCCCTTTGTAATGCTGCCCTGTCATATCTCTTGGGGATGAGTTGTGCAGAGGGGTGCAGGGGTCTGTTCCCCTAACCAAGGTGCAGCCTGCGGCTCAGTGAGAGCCTCTGGAAGACTAAGTCAAACAATGCCTGCCAGTGCCACTAAAACAAAGACAATTAAGAATATACCCCATTTTTTCATTACATGATTAACACTGCTGCTATGCCTTTGATTTAGTGAGGGCAATGCTGTACATACAAAGCAGAAGTTTTAATATGCTACTAACAGAGCGCGTACGAGGTTCAGGTTTTTTTCCTTTATCCTCACAAGGAGGAGGAGATGGAAGAAAGAGGGGGTTTAAATTGGGGAAGGTTGTAAAGGTTGGGTTATAAATAGAGACCAGAAGGTTTCCACTGGCCTAAACCTGAAGAAACATCTGTTGGAGTCATAAATGGATTGTGGGTGGACTCTCAGAGCAAGAAAATCTGCTAGCCATCAGATCTGAGCAGATGAGAAGTCACCAGCCACTGCTCCACTCTGCAGGGTTTCAGAGCCTAATTCTGCCAGCCAAAGTCAAGTCAATAAAGAGGTACCCAAAAGGAGCCATGCAGCTTTTGATGGCATAGAAAACAGGTGTTTCTTTTTCCATGAGACTGTCGGAGTCCACAGTCAGTTGACAGAAATTATAGTAGGGAAAAGTGATGTTACTTAATAGTTTTCTAAAGGTAACAGTATCCTGTCCTACCTCTCCCACTAAATGAATTGGACGTTTATGTAACGCAAAACTACCTCTTACAATCGAATATCTGCGACAAAAAAAAAAAGACGACAAAAAGGTGTAATAATAGCAGTGCACAGGAGTAAACGGGGGGGGGAGAAAGGAATGCAGTGAAAATTATACCTTGGGTTTTGCGGAGGGTTTATATATATATACACACACACACACCACACTGACCCCCCCCAAAGTCAGCAGACAAGGAGACTGGCTGCTACCAAAAAGGTGGCCAGGGCATATCTGACCCCATCTTTGCTCAAAAGCAAGTTCAGTAGTTTGCACTGATACGGTTCCCTTCCTGTGTAAAACAGAATATTGTAAACTTTTAGTAAAAATACTCAGAACTGCACTGTTACAATTCACATGAGTTTATTAAATATGATCTTCCCTGTACACCTGAAACTCACATCCCCAGAGCTGTAAATGTTCAAACTCCACTGGAGATTTTACAGAGCAATCTAAAGTATCATTACCCATATGTTACTTACAGTCCAACTGTTTGGACTGCTGACCAGATGTGGATTTTCAGTATGCTTTACCTAAATGTTCAATCATGTTTTTCAAATGTCTGTCATTCTTGTGGTCAGAAGGGTGAAAATCTTATGTAACTCAGATTTCAGTTGAGAAACTGTCTGCTGTGAGCCTTCATTATTTTCACCAACCTTACAGTCTAATTTTTTTGAATCAGTGAAATTTATTAACTGTGGTCATGGAATTTCCCTTTAAGATTCCTAATCTGCATCCTGCCTCAAGTCACTTATCTGCTGTCATCCCATCATGGATTCACAAGTGGTATGTTACTCAGCGTCCATTCAAAGCAACGTTCCAGTACTGAGCACAGTGAGCACGCTAACTTTTTTTTATTAACCATTATACATTTTAACATTTTGACTATACCCTGGCTTAGATTTCTACCATGGATCTAAACAGGAAAATGAGGCATTTATTCTGTATTACTTGAAGGTGTCAGGCACCAGCTTCTTTCCCAGTCAAGGATTTTTTACTCAACAAGGAGACAATGTCATTTTGCAAATCACGGAGGCTTTTTTTCTGAGCTCTGAGTTCTAGAGCTAATTTACTTCCCCAGGGTGTTGGTGAGGACTGGCATCAACACCTGCACAAAACAACAGCACTTTGAGTCTAACGGAGGGGCAAACACCCAACATGCTATGGAGACAGTTTAAAGAAAACAAAACAAAACAAACAAAAAAAACCCAAAAAAACCCAAAACAAAACAAAAAACAAACAGCGACAAAAATCATGAGCCTTCAGTAGCA